TTTTCCCTCTCAGTCTTTTTCCCTTTCATCCATTCATTTTCCATTCATTCACTTTTCTATTCATTCATTTCCCATTTATTCTTTTTCTCATTCATCCAATATTCATGAGTTCTTATTTTAATGGTTATTTTATTCTCATTTTAAGTCCGATGAAAAAGATAAAGCTGAGTATGACGAAGCTTGTCAAAAACTGAGAACAAAAATTCAAAGTAAGCAAAAAAAGTCCCACAATATTATTATCTAGGATATTATTTATTCATGTGTTTTTGTGCTTTATTTTAATATTTTGATTTGTTTCAGTATTGGAAGATGTTCAGGTGGAAATGTGTAAAATTCTGCTCCAAAATGATGACTCTCCAAGTCAGGTATAAAGAGTGAAATCATGATATTATCATAGCTACTGGCCTACTAGACTAGACATGTATTCTTCTGTACAAATAAGTTGAATGATGTGGTCCTGTTTTACCTCAAATAAGTCCTAATTGACTTTTTCTAAAGGGTACAAAGTCAACAAGATCAATGTTCCTGGACAAGTTCAGAAAATACCTACAAGAGAACATGCTTACAACCTTGAATGTATGTTACAAAATGTTACATATTAAAACAATTGAAATGCAGTGTTGAAAGTGTATAATTATATATGATAATATTTTTTTGTAGTTGCAGCCATCAACTGCATGCGGAGGTCCAGTCATTACCTGTTTCTACCATAGACTAATCCAGGCTATCAGATATCACTGGGATAACACAGGCAATGGTACTTACAGGACCAGCAATGGTAAGTACATCAGCTGTATTTGGTCTTCCCGTAGTTCTTTTTATCATATTAGTGATAATATGCACAACAATTTAAAAGCCAAATGTAAAACTTGAGTTTTTTCTCGCATTTTGCAAAGTATTATAATGGTAATCTTAAAGTGAAGTGTAGTGGATTGGAGAACCAACAGAATAAAAACACTTATGTAAAGTGATGATAACGATGATCAACGGTAAAGATACTTATATTTGAGTTTAGTGTATAATTATCTGAATTTTATTTTGTTTACAGATGCCTATGTCCCTCTCCACACGTTCTTTGATGATAGTGTTCAGTACTGGGATATGTCAAGGTACTTCATGTTCAAAATACAGTATTTTGAAGGAACTCTCAGACATGCTAATCAATCACTCCTGTTTGTAAACTGCTTGTGATATATCATTTGATAAATTATCCAGAATAATTCATAGTATTTAATCTACAAATTTAAGGTAGTTTGGATCTAGTCAGTTATTCATTTACTTTTATCTGACTTATCCTGAACTAATGATGTGGGACTGGTGGTATTTGGTTGTGTCAAATGGCACATCTTGGTGCATAAGTAGTATTTAGCATTTCACAAATTTGTTTTGGTTGGTTGTTGTAGGTTGGGTGGAGTGATTTCTCATCTCAGAAA